ATGATAAGAAAAAAAAAGTTCTATATAAAATTAGCTTTTTTATGTGCACGATTTGCGCGCAACTGATAAGAGATAAGAGATAACTGTCTTCAGCTTAGTTATAGAAGACCTCAAGTACTACAACTTTGCCGAAGACACCATGTTGTTATCTCTTATCAGTTGCGCGAAAACCATGAAGACCGCGAAGGCTAGACGGTACTACAACATATTCTACTTTAACGCCAACAGAATCATCAGAAAACATACTCGCCTTTTCAAAAATATAAATCGAAGAAAAAACATACTCCACTCTCAATCTCACCCATAGATATGTATTATATTATATTTTGAACCGCAATAGCAATGATCTTAGACCATAATCGACGAAATTCGTGCGGCAGGTTGCTTCAAAATTCTGAAACAGGACATCCATGATACTTTAACAATTCATACTCAGTATATCGTAGAGATAGACTTTTTGAACGTGGTGGCGGCGTATTAATTGCAACGAAAAATGAGAAGAAAGCGAAGAAATAAAATACCTGGTGCGGAAAACTTGGAATACATGTGTGTAAAGGCCAGCACAAAATCACACAATGTTTTCGTATCATGGATTATTTTAAGGATTTTTTAGAACGGATCAGAATTTTGAAGAAATACAAAGAGTGTTTTTTTAATATTGATCGAGCGAAGTTTAGTTGAAGTGTCAAGAGTACTAAGATCCAGTGATTATTTAATATTGGCTCTTTTACAGTTAAACCAGTATATCCAAACATATTTAAGGTGGTCAAAAAGTTAAAATCAAGCGAGCGTAGCGACCCAAATTTTTTAATTCAACTCCAATCAGTCCAGCATTGTCATATGGTTGCTAAATTTTCATAAAGATAAAAACTGAGCCACCTAAAGCGTAACCCCATCTTATATGCTCGAAGAATGTCGCTTTCAAATTATGTATTAACCATATAAATAACTTTAAGGATTTTGGAAATGCCAATATCCGTTGACCGATATTTAAATCGTGAAGCTTTTTTCGATTGCCAAAAAGGACGAGATCAAAATTTTATCATATTGGATTTAGTACTGGTCACACTGATACACTTTTTTCTGCTTATTACACGTTAGCCACAACAAGAATTACTGTTTTTTACAAGAATATTTTAGAATTTGTAAACAAGTTCGGCAGACTCATACAAAGCGAACAATCATCACATAAAGTGTGCAGTCGATGTAGCTGATTATTGCAATAAGAATGTTTGCAATAATCAGCGAAATATGTTTTTTCGCTATCTAGTAGACAGTGTCTACCAATATGTCGAAAATTAATCCGTTCTCTACCAAGTGTTTGAAAAATTAAAACATTTGTAAAGTGTTCGGTAAAAAATAGTTTAAATTCAGTCATTTTGAAAGGAAGTTTTTCGAAAAATTGCTTAAGAAAAGGCAAAAAACATGATCAAACTAACGAAGACTTACGAATCACTTTCCAATTTGGAGCGGACCATTTGACTTTTGGAACGGACCAAAATGGCAAGAACGGACCATTAAAATAATCCATGTTTCGTTTACAGCGCCTACATTCCACCAAACTCACCACAAGCAACATATAAGGTAAGGTATAACATGTTGTTATTTTTGTTGATGACTTTAATTTACCGCATGTGGAATGGGCAATTGACAGCGATGATGACAGCATTTTGGTTTCAACACTATTTGAACCTGAGTCATCTGCCACTTTTATCCAGGGACTCATGAGTCATGAGCATGGGAGTCCACCGGGTAAATCATGTCCGTAATAAATCAAAAAGTCATCTATTGGATTTGTTCTTTACTAATGATTTCACAAACATTACAATTGAACGAGTTAAGCATGCAATTGTTTTGACGAGAGTGGACAAGCATCACCCACCGATATTAGCAACATTTAAATGGCATGAAAACACACCCACACAACCTCTGCCGATAACGACAGAGTGGCATTCAATTTTAAGCGAGCAAACTTTGACGAGATGAATACAACCTAGCAAACATCGATTTTAACGAAACGTTCCACGGAAAGACATTCATCAAAAAGGTTAAAATTTTGCAACCAAATGTGTATCAACGTACATCGTCAAGCCAAAGCGAAAGTGTCCATGGAAGAATAGTCTCCTACAAAGGCTCAAAAATTGGAAAACCAAGGCATGGAATCGTTACAGACTTCAAACCATACTTTAAATGGAAATATATTTTGGCATCTCGCGAATTTGATAAACTCTGTGTTGTGGACTGCTGCTCTGTTGTGTGTGAAAAATGAAAAAACCGTCCAAAATTGTTATAAAATCGTCCAAAAAATATTACAAAAATGGAAAAAATTTGGTCGATTTTCTCATTTTTTTTGCCAGTTTTGAAAATAAAAATATAAAAAAATCTAAATCTGTTTTCGTCTCCAACTCTGAAACCCGAATTTCATCCAAAATATTTAGAAAATCGTCCAAACAATTTCGAAATTCGTTCAAAATATTGAGAAAATCACCCAAAATATTTAGGAAATCTCCCATCTTGGACAGAAACCGAAACGAGGCCGAAAATCAAACGCCAAATCGGCCTTGCACAAGCCAAAAAATGCTTGAACTCGCCTGCTTTTCTTTATTGTCTAATGTTACTCATTATTATAATCATAATTTGGGAGATTTTCTAAATTTTTTTGACGAATTTGAAAATATTTTGGAATCTAAAATTTGGATGAAATTCGAATTTCAGAGTTGGGGACGAAAACAGATTTGGACGTTTTTTTATTTTTATTTTCAAAACCGGCAAAAAATGCATATATATCGACTTCAACGATTTATATTTGTTCGCCTTGCAGAGCATCGGTGGACCGGCACTTGTGTGTCGCGCGACAGTGGAAGGAAAGTTTCAATCGAAATTAGTACGGAAGCAACACTACGGTGGTATGATCGATTTTAATTATAGCTACCATTGACTGTGATATGACCATCCATTGATTCGGTGATTGTTTTGACCTATTATTATTTGCATGTAATGGAAACAAGTTTAGTTTAATCAATGTTCAGGCGTAAATAAGTATAAATTGTTTGTATCTCTTGGTCTTGGCATGAATTGTCGATTCAAAACTACCAATGGGACCTGTTTAGATTAGACCAGCGCTGTCCAACCTTTTTTTTACGTTGGCCACAAAAGTGACCAAGCGTTCAATCCAATGGCCACTTTTTTTATAAAACAAGAAATGCAGTACACACAGAAGAAAATTTGATTTTTGTTTGTTTTTTTTATTGAATATTCGGTTATTAGTGATTAGTGGGATGGTTGGCATTCTTTATTTTCTGTCAGTTTATTAAAATCGGGTATCAATTGGGCTAGTTCGCAACGAAGTTCAGATTCCAAATTTGGTTGTGAGAGTGCATTGCGGTATTTATTTTAACGACGTGTGAGACTGGAGAATGAAGCCTCACAAACGTATGTGGATTTGAAAGAAATAAAAAAACCCTTCAAACATACAGTTACTTATTTTGTTTTTATTGCTGCAATATTGCTCTTTCTGCTATTTTCGCCTTGCAAATCAAAAATTCGTTTGAAAAAAATAAGTTGGTCAAAGGATCAAATCATTTACTGAAAAAACTAGAAATATAATAGAGAAATTATCAGAATCTTCGCGTTGGCCACAAATGGCCAAGTGGCCACAGGTTGGACAGCGCTGGATTAGACATAAAACTTCTCTTCAATTTATCACCTCTTTGATAAATTGAACGATGACTTTTGTTGTCACTCGGGCCGAAACTATACTGTTTAACGCTTCAACAGGCCTTTCATTTTACACGTTTAAGTTAGGCATTCTTGGACCGTTGACATATCAGCCTCCTACAGACATCTTCTTATTTGGTTAAAATCTGTATTTTTTTTAACTAGTCGAGAACCAATATTTGTGTAAAATCAAAATATCCACTGTATAATTGTGGTATTGTACAAACAAGAAAAGATCAGGTTTTTCACGGCTCTTGAAGTCATTTTCCTGCAAAACTAAATATTCTGCCAGTTTTGGGCGGTGTAAATAAATAAAAAGAAATAAATAATTCCATAAAGCAAGAAATTTTCAAGGCGATGAAGTAAGAATTCATTATTCAGCGCCCTATTTCACGCAGTTCTGCTCATTGACTTGAGACAGTAAAAATTTGCAGAGAGCAAAGTTAATTATAATGAATTATCCCATTGTAAAATAATAATAAATTTTGTTCAGTGACACCTCTATTCTAGGGGAATCACACATTCAAATATTCACAATATTCACAAATATTCAAACATCAATATTCACATCATATGCGCAATATTTAGAATATTCACAGTATATTCACGCAAACGTACGCGTGAATATTCACAATATTCATAACTTTTTGAAAGAGTGTGATTCCCCGCACAGATGTTCTATTCTACTTGAAGCACAGTTAAATTACAACCTGTATTTCGTATTTCACTCGGCACACCGAACTTGACGTCAAGTCAGTTGGTGGCGATGATGGTATTTCAATTCCAATCGTGTACAGTACGCTTTTTTCTCGCCCACATCCACCGGGTATGTGTTCACTTAATCGAATTTTTTCTGCCTTGCGATGAGAGTTCATTTGATTCGATTTATAAATTAGAATCTTGTTTGAGAAACGGAATGTGAAAAAAGTGAGTTTACAGAAAATAAAATTGATAAAGATAATTGAGTCTTATTAAAAATACTAACTTGGAAAAACTCCACTTTGAAATTTTTTACGTTTTTTGTGCTTTGATTTTCCGCTTCAAGTATTAGATCTATGCGCTGACCAGATGTGAAACCAGTTGAGGGCAATTTTGCTGTAATTAACAATGGCATTGTTTTAAAACAAAACAATAAACAACATAAGTAGAACTCCTTTCGCTTTTCCACACTTATAGAATCCTGAAAAAAGAATGATAAAAAGAACATATAGTGTATGTATGTTAACATTCCATTAATGATTAATGTGGCTTAAGATATTGACTGACGAAAATCCTATTTTATTCCTCACAATCTTGAATTCATACAAATCTTCCGAATATCCATATTTGATATCTACAAAGTCGCTCAATTTGACACTTTTTGCGTACCTGAACTGGACTTGGAGTTCACGCGAACGTGAAGCCTCGATATTAGCTTTCCCAGAGGGTACCCTAATCGGTTATCTTTCCATCTTTAAAAATTATTTGAGCGCCTCTTGTACAGCAGGTTTTATATGAACTTTGAGTGAGCCACTTTTAAATGAGCAAATACAAATTGTGTTTTAAACAATCAAGGCATATTTTAACCGGTAGTTCTACCGGATACCGGTAGTTAAAATTATATAATTTGAACACAGGGCCGTATCCAGAAATTTTGCGTGTAATAGGTGCTTCTACTTTAGGATTTGATAGCTTGGCCCCCTATAAAAGAAAAATTTTGAAATAAAAACTGGGGGGTGCTCTTTGACATTTTTCAAGTTATAGGTCAAAAACTTAGTTTGGTCTGTAACTTTTCGAATTTGTTGTGAAATTCGAAATCTATAAATGATAATGTGGAAACAATTTATTTCAATTAAATACGACCATCGGTGTTATGAATTTTGCCGAAAAAATTATAGTTTTAAATGAGTCGATTTTTAGGTGAACTTTTTTGGTCAAGCCATTTTTTTCAATTTTTCAAGTCAATTTCGCATATTTTATGCATATTTATTACATTTCTTGCGAAAATTTGGCAAATTATTCAATGCAATTTATGCGCTCGAGCTGTTCACTTGAAATGCACAAAAATGATTAGCAGCTACTTCACACGCAACAATTGCAAATCCGACTAATAACAATCGCTATTTTTCGAATTCTTCTTTATTGAAATGATTTCTTTTATCGTTTTTTAGCTTTCCATAAACATTTTTCATCAAAATTGTTTCAGTTTTCTATCGATTTATGAAGTGTTTCACAATTCCCAACCATTTTTTAAAATCGAAAAATCAAGGTTTTTTTGCCAAATTTTTTAAGTCGATTCGAATTTCAACAAGCGACAAGTGCCAAAAGTTATGTTTTTACACGTACTATATCGTACGAGTTGAAAATTTGGAAAAATGTTAATTCATTAGCATGTCATTAAATTAGGTAAAAGTGCGTTTCACCATTCCCCCCTCCCTCCTACATTTTTCAAAACATTTGGATGGGAGGTACCCTTAAATCGATTCCAATTGGCATGAAACTTTCTGAGATTTCATTTTTTAGTGGAAAAATAAGATTCTCAAAGTTTTGTGGTAATTGTGATAGTGGAAGTGTGCTTTCTAGCTTCAGAGTATGATAGAATCTCTTTGGAAACCGCAATTGCCTATCTCGAAAACTAGACGTGCCAGAGCAATTAGAGTAAAACTAATGAGTGATTCGGATTCAGCGGCCCCAAAAACCACGGAAATTAGTTCTCTTCTCTGTGGGTGTTTTTTGCTGTTACATAGTGTAATTTGTAGCAAAAGCATAATATATAATTTATATTTACACGGTTGTTCGTTATCATACAGTAGTGCCGACAGCTTCTTTATTTCTATTTCTATTTCGAATCCAGAAATAAGTTCATTTATGTTCAGTCAAAATAGCATTGTATGCAGGGCATATTTTAAGGAATTTCAGTGACTACATTCAGCTAACATAATATTTGCTCATAAGCGTTATCTCATAATTAGCTGCAGCTATTATGATTTTGTGACTTGACACCCAGAACAAAATCCTTAAACCTTTGAATTTGTGACATATTTCCATGAAAAGCATTGAAATATTTGTTACAAACTCAACGGTTTCATGATATTTTTTTGGGTGCCAAGCCACAAAATCAAAATAGCTGCAGCTTATTATGAGATAATTCTTATGAGCAAATATTATGTTAGCGTAGTTACTGAAATTCCTCAAAATATGCCCAGCATACAATGCTATTTTGACTGAACACAAATGAACTTATTTCTGGTTTCGAAATAGAAATATAAAAGCTGTCGGCACTACTGTATGATAACGAACAACCGTGTAAATATAAATTATCTATTGTACTTTTGCTACAAATTGAACATATATATATACGGACAAATAGACACACATAAAAACCAATAGTATGGTTTCGATAGTAGACCAAGAGCCCACCGTACAACAACTTTTTTTCTTGTGCACTGCAGAAATTCATAAAATCAACATCTTCCCACAATACTCTAACACAAATGTACCACTTGTTTCAATGAAATTGGGCGGATCGCTTTATTCACGGCTTTATTCGCGCTACGCGAAAAAGTATACTTTTTCGCACCAGTATCGCAGAAATTTGTATTAAATCTTCATTCGGATCTAACTAACTTAAAAATAAAATATCTGCACCGAAAAGTGAGCGGTTTGCTTAAAAAATAGAATTAAAAGATTTACACTTCGGATCATTTTGTTCTGAAGGCATTGAACGCACCCATCGCTTGCACTGACATTCAACGTTCGTTAAGTTTATGATGACAGCTACATTTGAAGTGTAAATATTTTACTTCTATTTTTTAAGCAAACCGCTCACTTTTCGGTGCAGATATTTCATTTATAAGTTAGTTAGATCCGAATGAAGATTTATTACAAATTTCTGCGATACTGGTGCGAAAAAAGTATACTTTTTCGCGTAGCGCGAATAAAGTCGTGAATAAAGCGATCCGCCCAATTTCATTGAAACAAGTGGCACATCTGTGTTAGAGTATTGTGGGAAGATGTTAATTTCATGAATTTCTGCAGTGCACAAGAAACAAAGTTGTTTGTACGGTGGGCTCTTGGTCTATAGTTTGGATTCACACGATTCGATAGTTGGGCTCAAATGATGACGATTGGTACGAATATAACTTCCCCAGTTCACAGGGCGGTTCCCCAGGAGCCCCCGAAGTACGAAAAATCGGCGATTTTCGAAAATCTACCTTCTAAACGGGGAATTTTGCTATCATCTCTTCGGCAAAGTAGTAGATCTTGACGAGATAAGAAACATTGCTGAACATGTTATCCCCAAAAATCCACCCCTTTGAAATTAAATAGTTAGAAATAGCAATCGAAATGTAAATGTGAACGCATCCTAAAATGTAACATGAAGTTTGACATTTGACAGATGACTTGACTTTGACGTTTGATTTTTCAATAAACGTTCTTCTTGTTATTACACTCAAACCGACTGGACGTGTTTCAATATTCAAAGCCGTAATTTTTATCAGGTTATGGGCCCAGAAACGACGAAAAAGCAAAAATATTAGGAGAATTTTGAAGAAATACCATCAGTGAGTATTTTGGTCGACCGAATTTTTATAAAGAGTCGCGTGTTGAGGTGTATGGTGAAGCAAACGAACGATCGAACGAAAATGAGTACCGCTGACGAGAAATGTTCCGTACCGCAATTGAGAGAGCAAAAGCAATGGTTACCGTGGAAATTTCTAGTGAGAATTTTGCTTCGTGCGGCTGAAATTTACGATGTTGTGACAGGCACAGACAAAGAGCCGAAATCGACCGATGCGGGTTATGATACCACAAAACATACGGCATGGACGAAACGTGATGTGAGAGCGCAGAAAATCATTGCAACGAGTGTGATTGACGAAGCATTGCTGCATATCATGAGTTGTGAGATATCGAAGCAGATGTGGGACAAATTGCACAGTGTGTATGAGCAAAAGTCGGAATCATGTGTTCATTTGTTGCTTGAGCGATACTACGCGTTTACGAAAGATCCAAACGACGATATGGCCGCGTTTTTCACAAAATTGGATGAAATTGTGCAACAGCTCCGTGATTTGGGTGAGACATTTTCCGAGCGCCAATTGATATCGAAAGTGTTGAGAATTTTGCCTGCGGAAATGAGTCATTTCAGTTCAGCCTGGGATTCGACAGCCGAAGGAAAGCGTACATTTTTGAAATTGCGCGAACCGTAATCCGATAGCAATACATTGCTTCTTATGGAGCCTGAATGGATGGATTTTTGTAAGAGCGCCTCTAGTGAAAATATCTTAGAATGATGGAATATTTCGAACTTTAATACGCTTTTCTGCTAATTTATCCAAACTCACCTCTTAAGTGGTAAATTAAAACCAATAAATACATATTTACACATCGAAATATCTCGAAAACGGCTGGGAAAATCGGCAAAATGGACCGTGGTTCACTCCCTAAAGGGAGTGTAGACACCCGGCTGGTTTGATGGCCCAAAGCTCAAATCCAGTGGATTCGGGCTGATCCATGGGCTCTCAGGATTTGGTCTGATTCCCAGCTTTTCCTTTCCTGTGAGCATCTTTACAAGTCACACTCATGTTTTGTATGGAATTTCACCACAGGGCAAGTGCTGGGATCAGGCCAAATCCCGATAACCCATGGATGAGCTCAAATCCACCAGATTTGAGCTTTGGGCCATCAAACCAGCCGGGTGTCTACACTCCCTTTAGGGAGTGACACCACGGTCCATTTTGCCGATTTTCCCAGCCGTTTTCGAGATATTTTCATGTGTAGTTTAATGAGAAAGATATCCGCCATGACAGCATTTTGGCCCGCCATGTTGGTATTTTGGTTTATATTAACAGAACATTCTCTACTTTGACAGTCAACGTTTCTAAACGTAAACACAAATATTATCTGTCATAATCACATTCACCACTTCTAATGTGCTTCAAAAAGCTTCTTACAGCGCCATCCATCCGAAGCGTTTGAAACATTAAAGGCTTTTGCTGATTTTTTCTGCCGCATTTTCATTCGAGCTATCGCCTTATGGCGCGAACGGCTCATGGTCGAAGAAATACGTATTTCGAAGGCTAGTGAGGGAAATGAAATGCAACAGTCAGCGATGTCGGCACGAATGGCAAATCGATCGATGAAACCGAGAGAAAAAAGGATTTTGAAGTGCTTTGAGTGTGGTACTGAGGGACATTTTCTAAGAGATTGCCCGAATTTGAACAAGAAAAAAGAAAATCATGAGGCGATGATTGTTTTGAGTGTGATTGAGAGTGGAGGAGACGATTGGTTTCTGGATTCGTGTGCCACGTATCACATCTGTAGCAACAGAAGCTGGTTCATGGGATATCGCCTGCTTGAAGTGAAACAGGAGGTGACGGCTGGCAACGGCGAACCGATGAACGCAATTGGAATTGGAGATATTTTTGTGCCGATGTATGATGGATCGAAGTGGAACGACGGTATTGTTCGCAACGTGTATCATGTGCCAGGCATCGAAGCGAATTTGATCTCAGCTGGTCAATTGAGTGAAAACGGATTTGAATTGTCGTTGAATCGTAATGGTAGCGCGATACGCAAGAATGGATTGACGGCCACAGTGGGAACTCGACACAGGAATTTGTTCAAATTGACAATGAAAGTGAAGTCACAAGCGAAAAATGTTCGATCGATCGAGAGCAAAAGAGAGAAAAGTGTCACAAGCAATCGATGTGTTTTGCCGAGAGTGACAGTGCGTCACAATGTCGATGAGAATAAAAGTGACGTGAACGAAGACGACGAAAAAGATGTGTGCGGCAGTAGCGATGAGCGTGGCGGAAACGATGAAGTGTTTGAAGCGGCCAGCGATGCGAATGAAAAGAATGAAGTGAACGATTCGATCATCAACGAGAAGCCAACACGATCGCATGAAGAGCTTGACTCGGATGAAGAAGATGCCGAGAATGCGGACAGAAATGATCGGCGGATGGATTTTTTTGGAATGTGGAAGAAAGTCTCCGGGCTGATGTGATGGTATGAAAATTTAAAGAAGTTAAATTTTTATTTTATATTTTTTCAGTAGAGCCAGTCGAGTGGCTCGGTACTGAAAGCGAAAACAAAATCTGAACTGAACTTGGAAATGGATACGAGAAACAGAGAGAGAATCGCATGGCGACGAATTGAATCAACATTTTGGATTTTTGTTTCAATTAGTTAAACTGTTTTTCGAGTAATTCATTTAAAGTTAGATTTTTGATTCATTCAAAGTTTGAATTTAGAGAGAGTTGAATTTTCATTATATTTTGAATTGTTTGGAAATTAACTGTTAGATTTGAACGAGAAAATGAATTGTTAGTTTGTAAGATTTACATTAGATTGAGAGAGAGTGTTAGAAATAGCAATCGAAATGTAAATGTGAACCCATCTTAAGATGAACATGAAGTTTGACATTTGACAGATGACTTGACTTTGACGTTTGATTTTTCAATAAACGTTCTTCTTGTTATTACATTCAAACCGACTGGACGTGTTTCAATATTCAAAGCCAAGTTTTTGTCAAGTTTTAGGGCGACTTAAAATTTACCTATTTTCAAGGGTGGTTTTTATAGTGAAGGGGTGGTTTTTTGGGGTAACATGTTCAGCAATGTTTCTTATCTCGTCAAGATCTACAACTGATTGCCGAAGAGATGATAGCAAAATTCCGTTTATTCCCAGCCGTTTAGAAGTTTGATTTTAGAAAATCGCCGATTTTTCGTACTTTGGGGGCTCCTGGGGAACCGCCCTGTGAACTGGGGGAAGTTATATTTGTACCAATCGTGAGCCCAACTATCGAATCCAGGTGGAATTTTGTGAAAATGTTTCTGAAACACTCATACGTTTACTGGTTAGGTTTAGGTTTTAATACTTTAAAACGTTTCATGGGGTTTCAATAGAGTTTTCCCCACCATAATTGTCTTCTATGAATCAAAAGTAATTTAAATAAGTAAAAAATTGTAAAGAGAATGGAACTTGTACGAAGAGTCGCACTTCGAAAAGGAACGAGTCCCAATGGAACTGGTTCAATGATTAGACTCGAAAAATATTTGAAAAAAAAGAGGAAATTGCGTTGTATAGCCCGTATCATATCAATAGTTGGAGTAATTTCCCATTATGTCAGTGAATTTTTGCCAAATAGTTTGTTCATTATTGCATACCTTTAGCTCAAACATTTCATTCAAATTAACAGGCTTTGTGACAGTAAAAGGTTTTTCAAAAATTTTATCCGGCCAAATGGGAACATTTATAGTAACAGTCGCCGCATAACGGATGCTGCCAAAAGTTCCTTCCAATGACGTTGGTAAGTCTTCAGGAAGCTGACACGAAAAGCTATATTTATATACATCTGGCTTTAGTGTTATCGGTTCACCTAGATATAAAGAAAAACAAATGATACCGTAAAAGTAAGAAATAGACTCATTAGAAGAGAATTTTATCTATAAGTAAGATGGAAGCAAACTTTGAGCAAAAAAGAAACAAAAAATTTGGCAAGTAGAAGTGACACAAGTCAGTATTAGGTGGAAAAACAGTTTTTCACATTTTTCCACACACACTGAGCGAAATGAGGTCGTTAGAATCACCAACATGAAGTTGTAAACGAGCGAATTCCAACCAGGGTTGGACATTTCCCAAAATTTTCTCCACATATACCCTTATCCTTAACTGAGTGCAGAAAATTTTGCGAAATGTCCAACCCTGGTTGGAATTCGCTCGTTTACAACTTCATGTTGGTGATTCTGACAACCTTATTTCTCTCTGTGTATTCTGATATTATATTAGAATCTTGATTACTGGGCGAAAAATATCTAATACATTATATTTTTTGACATCGGTTTAGTTTCCATAGATACTGTATACACATTTTTGTAGTATTTGTTGTTTCATATACACTATATCCCCATTAGGGTATCTCAAATGCCAAAAGTTTTAAATATCGCAGCTCCCCGACCCGAATCGGAAAATTGGGGCCGAAAAAATAAATTTAAGCCATTTTCCGACATACTTTTTCTAATAAAATCCACTCGCCCGGGAGGTATATAGTTTGTAGGGGAGAAAGATCCATCAATTGAAGAATATTCGAAAATTTTGGTACAATATCGCAATTATACTGGACAACAGATGGCTGAATCTTACTTATCAATTTTGGTCAATATTACAGTGCTCTGAAGTGCAATACTGAGCTCTTTCAGGTGAATATATGGCCAAAATCGACCGAAATTTCACATTTTTGCTACAAATAACGTCATAAAACCCCAAAAACACTACTTTAATATAATACTCTAATAATACTCTTAATTTTCACTAAATATACTGTGCAGCAATTTAGTGAGCGAGACCCAATGAGCAAAAATATGATGAATCAAACGCAGGTTTGCCAACAACCGCGTTGACGTGGCGCTGTCAACAATGTTGCCCCATTCATTTGAACTTTGCATTATATTCAGCCAGAGCTTGGCGGTGTTTAACAAAATGAATTTAAAAAAATCTTTTTATTTATTTTCATCATAAAAAATGCACACTGCGTGTTCGATTGGGCACCTCAAAAGAAGAAAATTTGGTTCTGGGACATATGCTGAAAAGTTAACTCACTGCGCACTAAACTTTTGTCTGATTCATATCTTGATGACCTTTTCAGACTAGGGGAGGACGGGGCTATTCGGCGCACTTTTCTCAAATATTTAAAATCTCCCGACCTAGTCATGCAATCTGACTCATTGTTTTATCATATGATAGGTATTGTCAATGCGAATCTTTTGACGCTAACACTTATGGTGTGTGACCCACCCAGAAATTTTTTCTGGCCAATTTCCCGACTACCATTTTTTTTGGGGCAAACCGACGCACTATACAAATCAAAATTAAGTAATCGAGTAAAATCTTTTATGTTTAACGATGTTTATGAATACCAATAAGATATGATAATATTATTTGAGAAATGGATGAAAATTAGAGTAGCAGTATTTTTCTTGGCTGCAGTGGGTGATATCTTCACCCCGACGACAGTTTTTTATATAATGGGCGTCTCTCTCCAATTCTATCTTTTTTAATAAGTTAAGAGCAGTCAGAATGGAATCAAAATCGATGTTTCTCCTGGCTGAAACATACAGAACATGAAAAAGTTTTGAAAGAATTTTTTATACCATTTTTGATATTCAAATTGTTATTTCTAACTCGTGAGCGCAAGTTTGAAGAATTAGAATTAAAAGCGAGGACACTTTGTATTTTTCATGCAAAACAATGACTTTTTCTAGCAAAAAATCATGTCGAGTGAATAATTCACGAAAGCAATATTCATAATTATAATCATAAATTTTGATAATTGAAATTAACCGTGAATTTTAGGTTTATGCATGTTGAGCGTACATCGAGCAATGGTAAAGGAATATATGGACAGTTTATGCGAAGAAGTCCTCACCCGGGCTGGAATTTTAAGTCATTCCACCAAAATCGTTCGGAATTGGAGTGAAAGAGGGAGATTCCACTATTTTGCAGCGTTCCACCGGAATTTTTTCTCACACATTTCACTCTTCCTTGAATTATCGGAATAATTCCGATGGAACGGTGAAAAATTACGTACGAAAAAAATAATTCCGAACGATTTCGGTGGAATTCTTAGAATTCCAGCCCCGATTCGCTAAAGACCCGAGAAAATTACTTTTCTAATAATCAACATGAATATTTTACTGAATAATTTAATTTTATAGTGGATTTTGATGATACTGAAAACATTAAAATATATCCTCGTTTTTTTATTGAAAAAATTAACCCTCTACTGCGCCATTTTTTTTATTATTATTATTATTCCGCACCATACAGCGTTTCTTCGCCAGAGGTGGTTTATTTAGCATAAATAAATCTTGTTATATTTACAATGTTTGCAATGGGATAATTAATTCTATTTGACTTTACTCTCTCCAAATTCTATTTCTCTTAAAATAATCAGCTACTCTCTGTTTTACAGTATTTGTACTTGTGTTAAAATCAATTAAATAAGTATCACAATTCGGAATAGTAGTAATATTACATTCATCTGGTAAATTAGGCGGTTTGATAGGAACAAAGTATTTATAAAATTCATTGTATGTACTCAACATATAATTGATAGGTTCAAACTTGGAATAGCAATTTTGATGCGTCGGTAATGAAAGGAAATCTGAGTTTCTTGTCCAATGTCGCGGTGTTTTAAAACTTATTTTGCTCAAAATGTATTTCGATGAAGTATTTCCACATATCACATTGTGGACAAGTGATATTTGTGCTATCTTTCTCCGCTCTTCCAGCGTAATCATTTGTAATTCAAGCAGTCGGCATTCGTATGGCGGCTTCCTGAATCTGTGTGGCCACTTCATTTTGCGCAGTGCAAACAATAAAAACTGCTTTTGGATCGATTCAACTCGTGCAATTTTTTCATCGGTGTATGGGTTCCAAATTTGGGAAGCATATTCCACAATCGGCAATACAAATGTGAAAAATAATTTCTTTATTGTCCATGGATCATCAAATTCATATCCAAATCGTTTAATCCATGCTAAACGTGATTTCGCCTTGGCTGTAATATACTCAATGTGTGCATTAAAATTCAATTTATGGTCAAGTATCACCCCAAGATCCTTTATCACGTCAACTCGATCGATTTTTTCGTTGCCAATGGAATATTCGAAGTTAAATTTCAGGTGGCCACGATGAAAAGACACAAATTTGGTCTTAGATACATTTAGCTTTAGCTTGTTCCGGTTAAAGCATTCAACAAGCCTATTTAAGTCAGCTTGTAATTCCAGACAATCATCATAATGTCTGATGTGTTTCCATAGGCGAGTGTCATCAGCAAACGACTGAAGTATTGAGTTTCTTATGTGTTTTGGTAAATCAATGATGAACAACAGAAACAATGTAGCACCAATCGGGTAACCCTGACCAGTTCCCGATGTAACTTCAATAGGGCTCGACATGTCATTATTCAATTTGACAATCTGTTGGCGACCATACAAATACGATTTGATCCACTTGAGTAATTGTTGATTCAGTCCCATAATATCTAATTTGCGTATTAGTAAATCAATGTTGACCGAGTCAAAGGCCTTCGCAATATCCAAGTAAATTGCATCGGTTTGTATTTGGTTTTTCATTCCTAAAATTGCACACGATGTAAATTCAGCCAAATTTGTAGTTGTAGATTTTCCCTTCACAAATCCATGTTGACTGTTATCAATAATATTCTCCATGTGATAATTAAGGTGTTTGGCAACGATGGAATCAAGCAACTTCGGTATTACACACTGCAGGGCTACACCACGATAGTTTTCAACTTTAGCTTTAACACCGCTTTTGTGCACCGGTCTAACGAATCAACATTTCCAAATTTCAGGCACAAATCCAGTGTCTAATGATTTCTTCAGCATGTGTGTTATTGGCTTCAACAATGCTGTAGTACATTCTTTGACAAAAATATTTGGTATTCCATCAGGTCCAGATACCATGTTGTTTGGAAGGTTATTTATCGAATCCATAACCAACTCCTCAGTAATGTTGATAGTTGGAAAAATAGCACACAGATCCTTTAGCAATGGTTCATCTTCAGAATAATTCTCATTTTTGGTATAGTCCGGTTCAGTGTACGCTTTGGCAAAATGTGTTGCGAAAAATTGTGCTATCTCACCTCGGTTACTACTTTTCTTATCCCCAAGAACCATTTCATTCGGAAGATCATCATTCGTCTTTTTGGAACCATTCACGAATTCGAAAAACTTCTGTGGATCTTCATTGATAAGGTTTTCCATTTCAAGTTTGTAGTTTCTATATGCCAAACGTGCGCTCTTTTTGTATTCTCTTCTCAATTTGGAGTGTTCTTTTTTGGCGTAGTTTTTTTCTTCAATGGTATGTCTGGATGCTATGTATTTGTATTGATTATTGACTCTATTCTTCAAATTGGTAAGGTCATTATTAAACCATTTTGGGTGACTTGAAAGCTTCTTCGTTTTCATCACAACATTCGATGAAATTACTGAATCAATCAGTTCGTAGAACTTTGTGATATGCGAGTCCAAATCATCACCGGAAAACATTTCCATCCAATCGACGTCATTCAGCGACTCATTTATGGTATCGTAATCGGCATTCATAAAATCTCGGTAACTATAATTCGAAGTTGGTTTAAATTGGTTACAATCAAAATTACCAATATTTATCTCATACGATATGTGATGTGACTCCTGGTTCAGTAGGTGATAATCATTTTTGGAACAATTGACGAAATCGGTGCTGTTAGTCCAAACTAAATCAAGCATAGCTCATTCAAGTTGCCATTTTTGTTGATTTGCACAAGGCCCAGATCATGACAGGTGTCCAAAACGACCATTTCTTTTTCAGATGAAGCACTCATTGGAATGGCTATGTCAGCATCTTCAGCATCATCAGTATACCAATCCAATCGTGACAAATTAAAATCCCCAGATACTATTAAAATATCTTCGTTCTTCATCATTGCAGCTATTTCCTTCAACGACTCCATATTTGCCTTATATACAGCGACAGGCGAATCAGGCCTAATGTATAATTCAACTAGAAATATGTTTCGATTCATTTTTTTACAGAGCTCGGAATTTTATTCTAGGCTAATTTTGAGCCAAAAATGCCAAAAAAAATAATGAAAAGCTCGATACAGTTTTCCTTTAGCCGGAAAACTAGGAAAATTACACCCCGCCAAAAGGCGGTCTTGCGTGTATTTACGCCTTCCTTCAGCCCGCCAAAAGGCGGCCTTGCGCGCTAACTAGAGTTCTCACTAAAGGGGATATTTTTGTATTTTTCCTGTTTTCAATGTAATTTCAACTTCTAGACAACATAACAATAAAACTTCAAGTTGAAATACAATAAAACATTGCCAGATTATAGCTCTGAGTATCCTATCTCTGCTGGTATATAACATATAGGCCAACATTTCTTGTGAGGGGTACTTCTAGTGCAGCGCTGTCCAACCTGTGGCCACTTGGCCATTTGTGGCCAACGCGAAAATTTTAGTGGCCAACGCGAAAATTTAAGTGGCCAACGCGAAGATTCTGATAATTTTTCTATTATATTTCTAGTTTTTTCAGTAAATGATTTGATCTTTTGACCAACTTATTTTTTTCAAACGAATTTTTGATTTGCAAGACGAAAATAGCAGAAACTGCAATATTGCAGCAATAAAAACAAAATAAGTAACTGTATGTTTGAAGGGTTTTTTTGTCGCAACGTTATTTCTTTCAAATCCACATACGTTTGTGAGGCTTCATTCTCCAGTCTCACACGTCGTTAAAATAAATACCGCAATGCACTCTCACAACCAAATTTGGAATCTGAACTTCGTTGCGAACTAGCTCAATTGATACCCGATTTTAATAAACTGACAGAAAATAAAGAATGCCAACCATCCCACTAATCACTAATAACCGAATATTCAATAAAAAAAAACAAACAAAAATCAAATTTTCTTCTGTGTGTACTGCATTTCTTGTTTTATAAAAAAAGTGGCCATTGGATTGAACGCTTGGTCACTTTTGTGGCCAACGTAAAAAAAAGGTTGGACAGCGCTGTTCTAGTGTATATATTTGAATTAAGAATGAAAAGAAATGGGAAGAATTTACAGTTCAGAACCCATTCTCTAGCAACCCTATACTTAATAGTATTGAAAATCACCCTGATTATAGTCCTAGTTATCCTTCTTTCAGCGGCAATATAGCATGTGGGACAATTTATCTTGTGAAAGGTACCTCTAGTGTACCTATTTGAAGTCAGAATGAGGAAAACTGAGAAAGAATCAATTTTCTAGACTTATTTCTGGGCAATTCTACACTGGAATTTAATGAAAATTTCCCAGACTATAGTCTCGGATGTACCCTTTCCAACGGTATGTTAGAAGTGGTACTTTTGATCTACATTTTTCAATTCGGAATGAAGAAATATTATGAAAACCGCCAAAAGGCGGTCTTGCGAATTGTGAATTTTTTCTTTCCTCTACTCGCAAGACCGCCTTTTGGCGGGCCCGCTATATTGAGGCCCCAAATTGTAACCAAATATAAAAATGATGCATTATTGCAATAATGATCAAAATCAAATGAATACCTCCTAATTTACCTGCAAAAAAATCAACGACCACTGAAAATAGTTTTTAAAGTATTTAGAGCTTACCCGAAAAAAATGTAAATTCAGAAAATGATTTTTTCTCAAAATTTCACTTTTGAGGGCCCATAACTCGGCCCCGGCTTGACATATATTATAAAATTTATATATCAATTTGAACCTAAAGGCCTATCCAATGCAACGCTACCATATTTTTGACCATCTATAACATGGTACGCAAACTATGGGCCATTTTGTGCACCCCGCCTTTTGGCGGTCTTACAAACTAGAGGGTTAATAAATGTCCTCGTTTTCCAGCTATTTTTTATTTTGCTGCTACCACGAAAAAATCCTGAGAACGCTCTTGGATATATTGACTGCGTCGGTTTGCCCCGTGCGTCGAATAGCCCCGTTCTCCCCTACTTGTTAAAATATCTCAAAGAAGAACCATTTTTGGTGCAATTAGATTGGGATATTTGGATTTGCCGCAGAAAATTACTCAAAAATTAGTTGATAAGCCGTTCCAACAAATATTATATTTTAATTTGAATAATAAAACCGAAGAAAACGTCACTTGTGTTCGACGAGTACCTCTAATAGTCAACTTTATGGTCTATAATGGTCCCTAATATATAATATATAGCGTTCCCGTGCTTCGTTTTTTCCTATTTTTCAGTGTTTGCAGGAAGTGGTTTTCCCATTGAGAAATCGCGGCTATGAAATCCATACTGTCGACAACATTCGACCTGCCTCTAGTGGTCGTACACAACACACACACACTACAGACACAAAGGCATACGGTCTGCGTGAGCCACTTGATTATCGGCCGTGCATACGCTTATATGATTGATATTTCCAATGTTGTCGTTTCATACCCTTGGGATAAATGCTCTATTGATAAAATAATATTGTATTTATTATCAAATATTACCGTCTTCTTCGCCAATAAAGTAGATCCGTGTCGATAAATAACATTCCTTCCCACGATATGCGATCCGTTTATCACCTGAATTTTCGTTCCATAGACACTCCGCATTACCAACAAAGGTTATATATATTCCTGGAAGCGTTGATAGAGAGAGAGAGAGCGAACAAGTGAGATACACATCAGTGTGTCACACATGTTCATTCTTTGCTTTAAAAATGTTGTCAAATTATTATAAAAATATCATTTCCTTTCATTGGATTCAGTTTTGCTTCAAACTTGGGTTATTATATATTATTGTACGGATAAAATTTTATCCGATAGGGCTATAATGGCACCAGATCCCTAGGAAATTGTGACCGAAAATGCGGGAAGTTATGACCGGCAGCCAAATTCACATCAGATTAAAGAGAAAGGGATAGATGGTTGAATTTTATCACCAGCTGATAACAAGCCCACTTTGCGAAGCAAATTGATTATTTCGTTTCAAGTTTCACAGCAAACTCATATTTTGCGTACTACATGACAAACAATGTTTTCACTTTTTTAAATAAATAAAAAAAATCCATATTTTAATTCATTTCTGATAATACGCACCCTGTTTTTTTTTTTGTTATATAAATAATATAGGTATAAAAAAAGGAAGTTTCTTTAGTGCTAAAAATCGGCTTCAATATCTTCAAAAAACGTTAGAAAAAACAACAAACCAATATCTCTCGAGGGGGAAATCACTCTTTTCACTGAAAAGTAATAGTTGAAAAGGAAATTAATTTGAAAAGTAATTGAAAGAAAAGAAGTAATTGCAGAAGTAATTTTTGACCGAAAATTACATCCAAAATGTCAAATATTACATCTTCAATTATTCCTTTTTTTCTTTCAATTACTTTTTCTCCGACTATTACTTTTCAATGAAAAATAATTGAAAAGGGGGATTTCCCCCTCGATATCTCTCAAGGGGGAAAGTACTAGATTTGTATAATTCAAGTAATGCGATCTAGTACAAAAATAATCCCAAATAATCCTTCGGAATTCTCCATAATTCTCAATAATGCTCAATATTGCTATGCATAATACCAACACCCAATAGCTAAACATAATTGTATTTCACTTTTGTTTATTGGCATTATGCATAGCATTATTGAGCACTATTGAGAATTATGGAGAATTCCGAAGGATTATTTGGTATTAGTTTTGTACTAGATCGCATTACTTGAATTATACAAATCTAGTACTTTCCCCCTTGATATCTCTACATTTCATATAGTGCAGGGAAACTTGGTTTGTGTGACTACTATTAGAACAATTAAATTAATCGAATTAATGTGTTACTTTCTTTCATGAAACAAGACAACCTATTTTGAAACCAAACAAGAAGAAGAACTTATTAGGCCATTATATGCAATGTTTGAAAGAGTCCATACGGAAGGAGAAGAAAGCACTTAATCAGAGGAGTAACATTGGCATCATCATAGTCCATCATCAGACCAACGTGGTACATTACCACAGCAATCATTCAAGCAGAATGTTATCATTGGAAAGTCGTCGTTACTATTATTATGGTTTGCATCATGGTTAGTTTGGATTATAAAAATGCTCTTTTTGTGAACTTTCATATTTTTTCGTGTTAAAAAGTCTTAAATTGCCTATGACTATAATGGTTGAGAAATAATTTCGAAAGGAAAACATATATATTTCTAACCTTTAATAATTTTCTCCTTATGAAATGTTATTATCACACTTCCCTTTATTTTTTCTCCGCCGTAAAATACTCTGTTCGTATTGTTATTTTCAAAAAGGATTTCACACGATGTTTTATTCATTGTTCCTAAATTTTTGCAGAAACAGAGCTCCAAATCTAGTAAAAGGGTTTGACCTTTGTTGACAACCAAAACTATTTATTCAAATCTTAAATTCAATTTTTTTTCTCGACTTGGATTTTTTCAGAATATTTTATTATTATTATGTATATACGTATACAAATATATATTTATATATCATAATTTGTTGATTAACACTAACATAAATGATGAAACAATAACAATTGAACACACAATATTGAAATACGCATTAACAAAACAGAATGAATGGATGTGATGGGCGTTTCGGTTTTGCCTTTTTTTCTTCGCACATTTTCAGCTATAGAAATACGCAACGCTCGGATGTCGGAGAAAATTCCTCAAATGACTGGAGATCTAAAGCGAAAAGTGTCGAGATTTCTATACGGCGTGAAGTATATAAGAATAATTTTCGTACATCAGTTTCTGACCATATCAATGAAATATTTGATAGTAGATGTTTCCACGCATGTCACGTACCAATAAAATTACAGTTATTTTACATTTTACAGATGTATATGTAATGTTTTTGAATACTACCGATAATAACAAATGAAGCTATTTGCCATTAAAATTTAGATTGTATACCAATTACAATTGTAAGCATTGATTTATTGCAATTACAAATGTCTACGATAAAAAGTAACCAAAAAAACCGCCAAATCATTTAGAACGAAATTGAACAAGCTTCAAGTCATATGATTTTGACAGCAGCTTTTTTTAGTACAGTATATAAGGGTTTTTCAATGTATTAGTACACATGTGTGTTGAAGTATTTGTCGCTCGTACATCTTTAACTTCCGAAAAAGTACATTATTTACGACTAACTAATTGTTGTTTTGTGCGCACATATTATTGTTGTCAAAACCGAACCAGTATACTTGATGCTTTCATCAAAATCACAGTTTATTTGAACAAAATCAGGAATTCAATATATTTAAAATAATTTTCGGGAAACCGCTGAGTTTTTGTGTTTTCAATTCCAATAAAATTGTTTGTAATTTTTTTTTCGCATCTTACCGTAATTTTTCTTTCATTCGGCCTTAAATTCGTAAATACATCAGTTTGAATTATAAAAAACAACATTGAATTTTCATTAAAAAAAACTTGTAATTACACTAGAAAATCGAAGTCAAGATGTCGGCTGATGATTCGTTCATTGTGCTTGAGGAAACCCCATCAATGTTGCAGTTTAGTCTTTTAAATACACCTGGGCATCATCCTTCTAGCTTGTTAAATACATCAATTCTGGACACTGGAACTATAACGAAGGGTATCGACACCGAGAACAGCTCCAATGTATTATCCGACGCTGCATCAAAATTTAACGATGAAATCAAAGAGTCAATAGTTGACTTATCTTCTACGTTGAGCACAAAAAGTCAGTCAGTCAACAATATAAACGCAGATGTCGACGATCAACAACGAAAACAAAAACCACCAAAAACAACATTGGCACAAAGTTTTCTTTTAGGAGATATCAACTGCGATAAAATGAAGGTAACAATTTAATGACATTTGTGCGAGGGGAAAATTACTCTTTTCACTGAAAAGTAATAGTTGGAAAAAAAGTAATTTGAAAAGTAATTGAAAAAAAAGTAATTTCATCCAAAATGTCAAATATTACATCTTCAATTAATTTTTTTTCTTCGAATTACTCTTCAAATTACTTATTCTTCAACTATTAAATTTTCAATGAATAGTTGAATGAGCTCGCATTTGTGCTAATCATTATTTTTATCCTCATACTATGTTTTTATTTTGTGTATCCTATGTGTAAATTTAGAGCTATTTGCCTAGTCTTAGTAATTCGATCCAAAAAGAAGATGTTGAGAAGTGGCAACATTTAATCCAAGAGCGTAATGATCTGAAAGGTATTTAAAGAAAGCATAAATAAATTAGTTGAGAAGTTCAGGGAATGGCTTAATTTTGTTTTCTTTTTTTGTCAGACGCCCTTCAACGAACGAATACAGCCATGCGACAACAATATTCTATGGTGAATAATTGGCAAAACAGTGTTAAAGACTTGAAGGAAAATCATGAGACAGAACTAAACAAATTTCGCAACATAAATGATGAAGTGAGTTAACATATACATATTATATAATTGTTACAAAAAATACACTGCATATTTAATTTCTGTTTAGTTATTCCATCAAAATTACGATCTGCAAGCCAAAGTTGCTGAATTGCAACATTTAGCAGAATTAAGCCGTAAAACCTGTATACAAACTGAAAAAAATCTATTGATCACCGACAAATTTGAGAAAGAAGAACTGGAGAAGCAAATACAAAGCTTAAAGTTGGAACTAGCTAACACAATCGCAACGAATGTAGAAATAGAGGAAGCACACCAAGAAACAAAGGTGAAACTAGTAGCAATTCAGGAACTTTTTAAGAATTCAACAGCTGAAATTGCTAACTTGAAGAAGAAGAACGAATGTCTACAACGTGATCTTGATGAAACAAAAGCCTTGGCTTCTCAATACTGTGAAAATATGAACATGATTCAGACGCAGGTAACAGCGCTTGAAAAGGATTTGGTTGGTTTGTTTGTTCGTCCTAACCTTTGTCCTTTACTTTTTACATTCAGTGTGACGTTTTCCGAAACGACTTTGAACTGGAACGAAAGCAACGCGAAGAAATGGCTTGCGAAAGGGACCAGATGATTGCTGATATTAAAATGTTGAAAAAGCGTAATCAAGCCTTAGTAGATGAAGCTCAATCATAGTAAGTTTACTTTGAGTAATCTAATCACTGTGACAATTCAATCATGTCACTATTTTTCCATAAATTATCAACCTTTATTTACATTGCAGTTATACTGAAACTTCGGCTAGTCTAACGTCCAATGTAAGCATCGAAGATAATAACGAGATACAGACATTTGTGTGTCCATTATGTTCGAACGCTTACACACAACTGAACGATTTGGAAAGTCATGTTCAAAGCTGTTTAGAAAAGAATTAATATTAAATTGAAATTGAATAAATTGTTATTGTTCTATGAAATGTGTTTCAATATTATAATTGTTCGTAATATAAAAATAAAAACTTGAAACTGATATAATGTAATAAACCTTTCTTCATAATTTCTATATTTCCTAGATGTCGCTGCAATCAATAATTTTTGCACGTTTGACGTTTCTTGTATGGACAACGCCAATGTCGCTTTGACGTGTCATTTACAATACATTATATTATTCATTTTATAATTAGTGGATAGGGCAATCGAAAAGAGGTGCAGAAAATCTGAATTGCAACTAAATTATATTTATAGTTGATTGAATTAATCACTACACTTCGCATACAAAATTGAATATACGAACAATCAATAAACAAAAATTGAATAAAACTCTCCAGTGGAAAAAAAGGCAAAAGACAAAAGATGTCGACTAGTGGTGATTTCGGTAATCCATTGCGGAAATTTAAATTGGTATTTTTGGGTGAACAAAGTGTAGGCAAAACATCCCTGATTACCCGCTTCATGTATGACAGTTTTGACAATACATACCAAGCGACAATAGGCATTGATTTTCTATCTAAAACCATGTACTTAGAAGACCGCACAGTGCGTCTGCAGTAAGTGTTACATTTTTGATTATATGCCGAAAGTATCAAATTGTAGGTATTTGCTTTGCTAACTTCACTGTGTATTCTGTTCCTTTTATGTTTCCTAAGATTATGGGATACGGCGGGTCAAGAACGTTTCCGATCATTGATCCCTTCCTATATTCGTGATTCAACTGTAGCTGTCGTTGTGTACGATATAACAAATGCCAATTCATTCCATCAAACTTCGAAGTGGATAGATGATGTGCGAACTGAACGAGGAAGTGATGTGATCATAATGCTGGTTGGAAATAAAACGGACTTGTCTGATAAACGTCAAGTATCAACTGAGGAAGGTGAACGTAAAGCAAAAGAATTGAATGTAATGTTTATTGAAACCAGTGCGAAGTCTGGTTACAATGTAAAGCAATTATTTAGAAGAGTTGCGGCCGCTTTGCCGGGTATGGATTCAACAGAGAATAAATCACCTGAAGATATGCAAGAGGTTGTGCTAAAAGATTCACCAAACGAAATTAAAGACGCTGAAAGTCGTTGTAATTGCTTGAATATGTAGAAAAGAACAATTGTAGGCAAATGAAATGAGGAGAAACTTTTATTACCGTATTTATGTTAGATCACTTGAACCAAAAGATCTGTTACATGATCGTTTCGAGAAAAAATCGAAAAACGAGCCTATTTTCAGTGATTTTGATGGTATAGAACAGACCGAAAGAAAAATAATAAATAATAATAGTAATTATAATGAATTAATTGAAACACTATAAATTAAACTTAAATTAACAACATGCATTAATGAAACTCATATATATATATATATATGAAACTTTTATATATTTGTATATTCTGAAGTGTCGAAACTTAGTTCTCACCTATTTGCAGAATTATTCATTTAACTCACATAATTTTTGTAAACGAAATATGAGTTGCACATTCGCATATTCGACTATTAACGATAAAGTAAACAAGTTATGAATCTTCTAACATACAGTGTTTCAAAACAAGATCACTGCCCTTTTTTAAATTTTTAAATACAAAACCAAAATTCGAAAATTCGGTTTTCGTTGTTTAGCTTGAACGATTACAATTTTTTAAAATCACTTTTGAAATATGGTAAAAGAATCTAAGAATATTTTCATCATATCTAGAGGGTCTAGCCAACTTCATCCCGAAAACACGTCAATCAAATCAAATAAATTCCGCGATATATGATAATTCTATAATTAATGCATGCATTCAATATGTATTTCAAAAGTGATTGAATTAAGTTGTAATGTATCTAAACATAAGTTTTAAACGAGAAAAAAAATATCCAGCAATACGGAAGCCTGTATGCTGGGGCACATTGATAAAAATCATTGAAAAAGTAAAACCGGCTCACCAAGATTTAATCATCTGCACCATCCCATTTTCTATATCTAGTGATCTTATTTTGTATTGAGGCCTGTTTTATGAAATCTAATATCGGATAAAAAACGAGTATGTTGGAATATTAGTGGCGATTGTGCTTCTTTAAACTGCATTTTTTTCAGAACCACAACACAGTAAAGAAAATAAAAACAAGAAGAACATTTCTAGTTTCATATTCATTTCGAAAAAAAAAGAAATATTCTGGAAAAACTATATTGTGAATTTAAAAACTGAGATTCTGAGTAACAAAAAATCGTTTACAACTAAAAATCACCGGTCTAGTCCACATTGCTTGAACTACACGAAAACGTTTAAACTAGTGGAAAAACAGCGTTTTTTCTTACGGAGTTGAAAAAAAGCGTTATGTTGTGTTTTGTTTGGCTGCCTATTCTCAGCGAATATTCATATTTGGCTGCCTATTCGCTATTCATATTATTACATTACAGAAAGAAGATCAAAAAATACAATCAGTCTTGCATTATATCGCTTGAAAGTTAAAAAAGAAAGTTGGTTCAAATACATTTGAACATATGCAAATACAAAAAAATATCATGCTAAATCTATGGGTGAGATTGAGAGTAGTGTATGTTTGATTGACTTTGTTACGAAAGAGAAGAGCAAGTTTCTGTCGACTTAAAAATGGTTAAAAGCGAGTATGTTCGTTTTTAGCGGGTCCTCGCGGTTTTTCACGGTTTCCGCGGAACTGATAAGAGATAACAACTTGGTGTCTTCGGCAAAGTTGTAGCACTCGAGGTCTTCTATAACATCGCTGAAGAAAGCTATCTCTTATCTCTTATCAGTTCCGCGAAAAATGATAAGAAAAAAAAA